TAGTAGTAGTAGTAGTAGTGAGAGGTTAATAATGATAGTGGCAGTGGCAAGGGCAGGATTAGGAGTAGGAGTAGCAGGCACAGCAGCAATAGTTTATGCTGATGATGATGGCTGTGCTTTCTACTGCCTACGTATTTCCCTCCTACTCGCTACGTCGCTGCACTCCCCAGCCAGGAGCTCAAGAGGCTCGCTCTCAGGTGGCTCGCTCAGGTGTTGAAGTTGCGTTTGCCTCCATCAACCCTGGATGCGGATTCGTAAACTCGATGTAAATACGCCCTTGGTAGCCCAGCCCGCACTTTGGAGACAGCGGCGGCACAAAGTAGGTTGAGGGTTGGCTCTGGCAGCAGGCGAGGTACTGGTATTTGGAGCCATCCCAAGATGGACAGCAATTGGGTCCAGCAAGGTGTTTGCAGTAGCGGTTGCTTGAGCACAAGCGCATGTCGGGACCTCCTTGCAAGTCTGCAGACGTCTTCTCTTGGCTGGTTTGAATCATTCCCTGACCATCGTGCTCCGGACATACACCTGCCTCGCACTCAGACTTAACCAATGGAGGACATGCCAGCACAACCAGGAAGAACCACATCGCCATCGGCTCAGGAGGGGAGCTGCTATGTTGTTGTGCTAGAGCCGCGAATTCCGGCACCCAAACAGTGGACATGTTCCTGTGACAAGCTACAGCAACATGTTTCGATCTTCGTTCTTGCCATTCTTGAATTAGGCATAGCACGCCATTGTATGCTTCTGAATATTGTGTCATGACTGCTGTAACTCCACAGCTACTAGTTACTAGTTTAGTAGCAGGGGCCACAGAAGCAGTAGCAGCAGAAGCGGCAGCAGATGGCACCAGCCAGCACAACAGGTCGTCTCAAAGTTGAGGGAGTATCCGCGGTAAGGAGTGGCAGCCCCCAAACACAACCCCAAACCCCTCAACCTGCCCTCGAATCTCAACTCAACTGACCCGCGGGCCATGCACCCCCTTGAGGTCAAAGGTCCGGCCACTGACTCCGAAACCTGGAAATCTCCCCGCGCAGGAACATGGCCCAGAAGAGCCGATCCCGATGACAGTTGACAGAGTTGTGACGAATATGACGAGACCGTGGCCCAGAAGGAGCCCGGCCCGTTTATGTAGATCTTTATCACGTGGATCTGGTGACCACAGAGAAGCTAGTGATGACAGGACCCACACAACACACAGCACAGTGCGGGCTACAACAGAGGTGGTTTCTGTGGGTGTGAGTGGGTTTGGGAGCTAACGATTCCCTAGCGATTCAATACCCTACAGTCACCGCCGCTACACTTGAACCCCAACAGGACCTGTCACGTTGAAACCCTGAACTCACAAAACCCCAACCCTGAAACCCCTGCACTTCCCCTGCATCCGAGGTACAAGGAGAGGACCGAGCCCAGCTGAGATCTGACCACCGACCACTCCACTTCAAACGGATCTGGCAGACCTGGGTCATGTGGGCCCCGAAACAAGCCAGGCACATGCGGCTTCGGGTGCCCTGCAGGAATGTAGCATGCAAGGTTTTAGCGGTAGGGTTCAGGCTCTGGGCTCTTTAGGGTTTGGCGTGATAGCCTGTGTGCTTCAAGCATGCAAGTGATGCTTCATTCCGTTCCATATCTCGGGTGCTGTCTCGGCATCTTCGTGTTCTGCGCCCTGCCTGGGCCTTCTCCAGCAACCAGCAACAGAAGACAAATCAAGCCATGCAAGTGATGCTTCATTCCGTTCCATATCTCGGGTGCTGTCTCGGCATCTTCGTGTTCTGCGCCCTGCCTGGGCCTTCTCCAGCAACCAGCAACAGAAGACAAATCAAGCCATCGCTTTGAAGGGCTATGGCTGTCCCAAAGCTTTGCGAATGCCACTCCATATGCGCGTACGGTATGTGTGTATATATGTATGTATCGATTGTGTATATATATATATATATACATATATACACGTATATACAGATGTATAGTATATTGTACACACATCTTTTTTGTGTGTATATATATATATATAGAGAGAGAGAGAGAGTCGCGCGTCTAGCTATTTGCTTATTTGTGGATTCATTTAATGCTTTACTCTCAGAGCTCCATGACTCCTCTGCCTTGCCTGGGCTGAAAAAATCGAAAAGCCTTTGGGCTGCCTCAGAAACTTAACAATCCCCAGGAGCAAAAATGCCAATTGAACTTGGGCATGCTCAAGGCCATCATCAACCTTACTCTTCTTCCTGATAGTGTTCTTACTACTGCTCTCAATGTGACTGAGCTAATGCTTCCCAATACTGTTGTTGTTATCGTTACCATAAACCATCGCCATTGCTGCCTAGACCCTAAACCCTAAACTCCGAAAATCGAAAGCTCAGGCGCCTGCCAGCCCCATGGGCGCCATGGGCTCCCAAAGCCAGCCTCGAGCGACAGTCATAGAAAGCGGTACAAGGGATGGCTTTTAGGCTGCCCTTTTGGTTTCAGGATTTTGTTGCTGTTAGCTTTTCCTCTTCGGCCTTTTGGCTTTAGATTCGGCGTTCTTGTGTTAGATTTAGGCTTTGAGGCCAAGAGAGCACGTGCTCGCAGTGATTGTAATGACATTGACATCAGAGTGGACAGAAATGCCGGGAGTGTTTCTGAAACTATATAATACTATACTTATGCTTTGAATATGATACAATACTATATAACATCATAGAGCAACACGAAGGTTCAAGGGTCTGCGGGGTCACAGGGCCTTGAAGTTGCAAGCGCCACAGGCTCCTTTAGACTGCTCCATGTCGCGAAGCTCTGATAGCAATATTCATATAGACATCATAAGGGCATATCATTAACAGTTCTTCCGGCCCCTACAGCGCGTTCATTTCTGGTCGATATTTAATACGATACCTCATCAGCACACAGTACTTCTCCGCAGTCAGAAAAGTTCAGGCTCGCAAAGTCACGCTGACCCTGAAGCCTCAAAGCCCTAAAGCCAACAACACCCACACAAAAGTTGTCACAAAACCCTTCTAAACCCCATGCACCCCGATAAAGCACCAACCCTCTGAAGCCTCAGAAAAACTTTTATAAAGCCACCCTCACCCAGTTTGAAAAACTCCGTCTGAACCCTCCGAATCCCTTTGAAACCTTCTCGACCCTATGCTGTGAACAAACCCGCGACCGACTCTAAAAGCGGCCCTAGAAATCCGTATGAAACCCCTCTAAAAGTCCTTACAACCCCTCGACCCAGCCTGCTTCCCTCGCGGTGCCCAAGTCCTCGCCAAGGAGGCCCAGGCCAAGGAAAAAGCCCACGATCCTGCAGATGAAGGCTATGGTCGGGGTAATATCGGGGCCCCAAGAAATACCAATACGATATTGGCCAAAACCCTGTTCCCGCCTCTTGGGTTGCTCTAGCCAGTGACTTAAAAGCCAACCGCACTCCGCCTGACTTCAAAGTTAAATGTATTACTCAGCTGCTGCTTGACACGTGGAGTAAGCCTTAAGCCTACACTTGATGAAATGCGAGCTAGATTACCACCCAGACCTGGCCGCCGATCCATTCTCACAGCTCAACGTTCACGTTTTCAGCAGCAAACAATCACAGTGTTTTTTGGAAATCCGTCGGGCACCCAGCCGATTAAGCCTTGTTGGGCTACCGATGAGCAGCGGCTTCAATTCTCAACCGTACCGACAAATCTGAGCCGAAAATGTTCAGCTGCCACTATAATCTCGCTTGAAGTACTTGACGCTTGGCATTCCGAGTTTGATGCGATGGTCGTCACGGATATTATATCTAAGCTAATTTCCAACACGGATACAACTTGAAAATCACAGGTGAGGCAAAAGCACTCTAGTTTCGTCTTCTCGAACCGACTTCCTGTCCGATCACACCCCAAAACCCTATTCCGATCCTAGGACTCCGTTAAGGGCTACTGCCAGGGCTACAGGGCGACCGTAAGGGCGACGATGAAGGTGCCTTTTTGCTGGCGACTCTAAGGGCCACTTGTACCCCCAAGAGGAATGGTATCATTGCATCAAGTGTTCATGCTTCTTTTTGAGGAGTCTGGGGGGCTTGGGGCTTCCGGGCTGTAAGCGTCATGTCATGGCCGGAAGAACCGAAATAACAGACGCACATCCATCGCAACAGGTAAACGTAGCAGCAGCTCTGGTAGTGACGGAAGCTCCGTTTAGGGTTCGGGGTTCAGGGTTTGTTGACCGCTCCAATAGGCGAGTGCTTCGACTACTTGTGGGTAGTCGTGGCAAGGCTGGAATTTCCGTGCAGCTGTCAAGGCTGACAAACACAGCGGCACACCTTATACAGGCCTAAGAAGTCATGTCGGCCTCATGCTACGCTATCTGCCGGCTCTAGGCTTACACCCATCGTCAATCGTTGATAGATGACGAGGCAGAGCATACTTCCAGAACATGCTATTCGGTTCAAGGTAGAAAATAATGTGAACGCTCATGTACCATCTGATGCCCCCACATGCACGGTGGAAGATACGCTACCCGAGCGTGCAAAACACACGCATCGGTCCACAGGGGTCCGCAAAATGAACACCCGAGCAGGTCCACCAAGAACGTCAGGTTTGCAGATTTGGGGTTGAGGAATTTTGCAACATGTTCACGCAGGAAAAAACACCCTGCAAATTAGAATACTCCAAGCTTCTGAAGGCAAAGGCTCGCCGGCAGCACAGCGAAGTGTCGCCTTGGAAATCGTTGTTTGGCCAGGGAGGAACCAGGAACCTTAACCGCACCAGAGAGCAATCGAATGTACGGCACTGAAGCCAAGTGAAAGAACATCCCAGCAGCACCAAATAGCACCAGTGTCACGCGACTTGATGCTCACAACAGCTTTTTCCCTTTGCCCTGAATTCGTCTGCGTCGCCTGAGACCAATCCAATGGCTCTGCATGTTGAAACACACCCTTCAACCTTCCTCCACGAAACAAAGCCTGAGTTGCCTGTAACCCCTAAGCCCTAGAACCCTGAAGAAGGACGTCAAGTGGCAGCCACTTGGATCCCGCCCGGTTGGCAGCGCCCACGAGGACAGTAAGAGTCATTTGGGCGTAGGCAGCTGCCTCGCCGCAAGTGCCCGGACTACAAGGGTTCCTGCTCAAAGTCTGTACGGGTTACTACCAGGGGTACTATAAGAGGGTGTAGTATAGGGCTGCAGCAACCTGAGGGACTCTGAAGGAATATGATGAATGATGTCCATGCATACATGGCTTTACCTTCGCGAGTCGTTATGCGTTGCTGCAGGAGACGTCGGGAGATTCGAGGCAGGTTTAAAGACCGTGCAGACGATGTGCCGCCGGCTGATCTCCATGTAGTGCCACGCCGTCAACTCTCCCACTTTCGAGCTGTCTAAGCGAGCCATGGCTCCGAATCTTACCTGCAGTCAAGTTCCCACCTTCATAGACCCAGCACACTACGGTGATCCTCACAGGCTTCCTTCCGACTTGCCACGACACCAAAGCTGCGGGCCTGGAAGTCACGGCCGCCAAACCTGAAGGGAAGGGACGGCAAAGACCATGCAAACCCAGAATGCAGTTTAACCGCGCAAGTCGGCAATGTCAGTCCCCGGTTGACAGTATACATGAATGTATCCACATTTCAACATGGAGAACTGTATAAACGTTGAAGCATCTATGCTTCGTAGCTGTATCCGGGTGCCACGCAGAGGCTGCCCGCTCACCAGCTCCAGCGCACCCTGAAGCATGCCGATACCTACCACAGATTACGATCAGGGTTACCATAAGGGTCACCGGAAGTGCGACATACGCTAGCGGTAGCCACATTCCATCAACACGATTACGCTTGTGTAGGAGGGTAAAGCTCGCCATTTAGGGGAGCGTCTAAATCTTGTTGGCCAACCGAGCCGAAATCGCAGCAGCGGCAGGAACCATAGCAGTAGCCGCAGCAGTGGTGGCAGCAACATCACTAGTAGCAGTCGCGGTCGCAGTAGCAGCAGCAGCAGCAG